AAGTTCATCCAAATTTTCTTAAATGTATGCAATATTGAATAGATTGAAATTTGTTTTACCCGTACCAGCATTATTTTAATACAATTAATTATTGGCTCGAGGCGATGCCCCCGTTCATCATAAATTTATAAGTTTGATCCAATTTACAACAAATGAGGTTCCTATCTAGTAAAATTATCACATAAATTCATTCATGCAATCAAGTTCAAGCATTAGTTAACATAATAAAAAATAACGCTCTAAAAATGACTTACTTATCAGAAGAGAAAACAACCTCCAATCTACAATTAGCCTTCAGCGAATCTAATAGCACATGAGTAGGCAAGAAGTAATTAGCACCAATTAAAAAATACTAGGCACATAAATTAAAAGGAAAATTTACAAATTGCAGCCATTAAAAAAAAATTGCAAATTGCAGCCCAAAAGTTATTATAAATTGTAAATTGCAACCTAATTCAATTTTTTCATCGGTTTGCGTGTAGTAAAATGTTCGATTAAGGTTTTAGCGGCCATTTTAGTCCTTAAGGTTCCAAATTGAGCTCGAAATTGGCAAATCTTACGGTAAGTGCCTCATTTTTACAACAAATAATAGTTGCCCACAAATCGATACATTTTTATTACGCAAAATGAGGCACTTACGTTATTTTTTTGTTAATTCTAAGCTAAATTCGGTTTCATAAGAACTAAAATGACCCCTAAAACCTTAACTAATATTTTTCAACACGCAAACCGATGAAAAAGTTAAGTTGGGTTGCAATTTACAATTTATAAGAACTTTTAGGCTATAATTTACAATTTTTTTTTAAATGACTGCAATTTGTAAAATACAAACTATAAATGGCTGCAATTGACAAATTTTCCAAATTAAAATAATGAAATTTTAAGCTACACACCAAAAATAATTTACCTCCAATAAGGATTTCGATGACAGATTTACTACAATAGTCTAGCAATATAGGAAGGGCCGGGTTTCCATTTATTTTTGAGCAAACATAAGATACATCAGTTACAAAAATTAAACACAAATGGGCAACATTATTTAGTTCAATTATTCAATCCACAAAATTAGCTAAAATTTAATGGGTTCTTCCACTGAGTCACTAGAATTAATGACCAAACGTTATAGTAAAAAATAAAAACGTGAACAATAATGGTTTAATTTCCATTTAAAGTTTCGACCAAAAAAATTCAAAACATAAAACACAAAAGACCAAACTCAAATGAGCATTGACATTTAGTTCAATCATTCAATAAAACCACCAAATTAGCCGAAAATTGGAATAAGCTCATCAGTTGCCAATTGAAGATTGATAATTATTACAAAGAGTATAACAAACAAAACAATTAAATTAAATGGAAATAAATTTAAACAATAAAGCTATTAAATTAGTGGAAAATTGAAATAAGCATATCAGTTACCAAATTAAGTAGGCACTAATTAATTTTTGCTCCGAACATCCAATTGAAGATTGATGATTATTATTAAGAGTAAATCAAGCAAAACAATTAAATGGAAATAAGGCGATGGGACCATTTCATATTGAGGAAAAGATGGGACACATGGGATGACACATAATACACATGTGGCGCCTAGTCATTTTGAGGGAAAGGTGACACATGGCGATTCCATGTTGTCCCTTTAAGTTTTAATAATATTATAAATTATAGATTAATTAGCTAGCTGGCTAGTTTGTGCAACTTAATTACACTCCTTTAAAAACCAAACTTGATTAAGATTATACAGAGTACTAAGTATTTACTACCTTTATTAATTATGTACAATGTGTAATTTATTTATATATCATTAATAATACCCAAAGTTTGACATAATAATTAATGGAGGTAGTATATAAGCATTAAACAGAAATAAAAAAACACATGATTTATATACCTACAAAATTGACAAATGTTTGCCGATTTATATTTTTACAATCCGAATTTACTCGAATTAAGATCAATTTTGTAAAGGATAGACCAAAATCAAGAGTTGCGTGGAAATTAATCAGAATATATATCGGAAGAATAAATTGTCAAACATCGAAGTATTTAAAATAACAAGACATGCAGGTCAATATGAAAATAGTTAATTAAAATTAAAATAACTGATTAAAAAGAAATAGTACAACGCTAACATAGGACAAACTTTTGAGCGAGATCAATCTCGTCGTTTCATATACATAAATAACAAATTTTAATTACCATTCAACCTTTGAGAAAAGTAATGACAAACATTTAATTTTCTCCCCTAAAAACAACATTAAAAAGAAAAGTAATAGACTTTAAGTTTATAACTAATATAATACATTAACACGAGTAATTTTTTTTGCATCGTCAACAACTAACTTGCGTTGGTAATTCAAAACGGCAAAGAGGGCAAAAATGACTAGTGTGATGCCACTCAACAATACAACCCTCGTGAAATTCGTGTTCACACGGCATTGTAACCTTCAATGCTCCCTCTTTCTTGTTATCATAAAGTTGTTCAAGACATGTAGTAAATTTAGTACTCTCGCAATTCTTGATGCTCGACCTTGTTAAAGCCTCGATTGACACCTTGCTTGCCGGAGTAGGCTTCATCTCCTCATCCTCGAACGACTCTAACTCCACCCACGCCCTTAATTCCTCATCATCTTCGCAAACACGATCAGTATAGGCAGGTATATCCCATACATACCGATAATCCCGATTATAATCAAATTCTTTGGAGAGACTTAGTTTATTACCAACATAATCTTTAATATCTTGCAAATAATTATTACAGCATTCATCAGTGTGACGCAAAGATTTAATTAAGTTGACATTATCAGAGTGGCAACGAGCACAAAAGGGGTTAAAGGGATCCAGTACGGTGCTATTGCCGGTGGCCTGGGACGGTATGGTGTGATTGGTACGACGGAGAGTTGGCCGACTTCGTCGACTTGATAAGTAACCAATCTTTCAAACTCTAGGAGCTTCAATTTGCATTCAATTTTTACAGGATCACGAAATTGTTGGTGGGAGCAACGAATTCGTGGACGCCTAAATGTCGTCATTATTATTATGGGAAAGATCGGTAAAAACATTTGAGATTTTTTTTAAAAAAAAAAATTGATTGAAAAGCATCGTTTAAAAGCAATTTAGATTTGGCTTTAAAGAGGAGAGGACGCTTACTTTAGGGATGACAATATTAGATGGATATCCGTTAAAGTGATCCATTTGCTTAAAATAAATAGCCAAAAATCTGAAATAAATGAATGAAAAGCGGGTGATGGATGAAGTGGATGATGGATCGGATCGGATGTGGATGATGATTTTTTCACCCGCTAACCATCCACCCATCCGTTTAACATATACAAAAATTTTTAATCTAATAATTTTAATTAAAAAAATTAAAATATACAATAAAAATACTTTGTTTGTTGCAAATTAATTTTTTTCAAAGAATATGTAGTAGTGTTTCCTTTTTATTTAAAAAAATAATAATTACTTACGGTAGAGATAACCATAAATTATATTTTATGTGAATTTTTTTTCATAAAACGTTCATCCATTAGTCACCCGATCCACCCGTTTCATCCGCGGATGATGGGTGGACGGATACGGATGATCGGTGAAGCGGGTGATGGATGGATGTGGATGATGAGATTGAAATGATGGACGGATGCGGGTGAAGCTCCACCCGTTCCGAATCCGATCCATTGCCATCTCTAGCTTACTTACATAGAAAAATAGGAATAGGGTAAGGTTAGCGTAAGCTCCTCGTTTAAATGTTGTAAAAATAAGATTGTGTTAGTTGATTTATCCTTAATTATGAGATATTTTAAAACATAAATAAATTGATTAGTTTGTAATTTAAATTTAAAAGCTATGTTATTCTGTAATAATAATAATTTTTGTGGTCATTATTATACAGACGTGGGCTAATATATTTAACTTTGTATTGAGTAGCTAGTATGGAGTACAAATAAACATGATCGATTGATGTTACGAGTATGTGATTGATCTCAAAAGTTTAAATAAACATGATCGATTGATGTACAATAAATAAATTTAACCTATATCTTTTTTATTTCAGGCCAAATTATTACTTTCTACGTCTCTATTTTTTTTGCCGTGTTTGATTTTTCACAATCTTTAAAACGCGTCTTAAAGCGTGGGCTAATACATTTAACTTTGTATTGAGTACGTAGCTAGTACGGAGTACAAATAAACATGATCTATTGATGTTACGAGTATGTGATTGATCTCAAAAGTTTAAATAAACATGATCGATTGATGTACAAATAAATAAATTTAACCTATATCTTTTTTATTTCAGGCCAAATAATTACTTTCTATGTCCCTATTTTTTTTTTGCCCCATTTGATTTTTCACAGTCTCTAAAACGCGTCTTAAAGCGTAAATAATTATATTTTCATACGCGTAAAAATTATAAAACTTGATATTGATAAAATATACAATGAGACGGATCACTAGGCGAAAAACCCCAATCCCCACCGGTTCAAACCACACATTCCCCACCGGTTTTGAACCGTTCTTGATTTGGGGGGTGCGAAATCCTCAATGATTTCCCACCGGTTTTAAACCGGTGGCAAAAATAACTTTTCGCACCGGTTTAGGAGAGAACCGGTGGCAAAACATCAAAATTATGTTATATATGGGGCACCGGTTTTCAAGTGAACCGGTGGCAAAAGTGCTCAAATATAACATAATTTTGATAGTTTTGCCACCGGTTCTCACCTAAACCGGTGCGAAAAGTTATTTTTTGGGCACCGGTTGATTAAAAAAACCGGTGCTAAAACCTGTTTTTTTTTTTAATTTTTTTTTTATATAATTAAAAACCTGCGCATCCTGTATTAATTCTGCCATTAAAATATATTATAATAACAGTAATAATAATAATAATAATTATTACCCGTATTATTATTATTATTATTAAAAATACTAATAATATAATAATTTTTACATTGAAATAATAACAACAATACATAAATATTAATTAATAACCGTAAAATGCGATACAATGAAATGTCATATAGCTTCTACAACTCATTAATTAAAAGGTGTTATATTTACAAACTATACTAATAACTAATGTATAAGTTAACAAGTTCAAATTAAATTATATGTGATGAAAGACGCTAACATGTCTCGAACTTCATTCAGCTCTTTGCTCGTCAATGGACCTCCTTTTGTACCTTGCAAAACTTGGTTAAACAAAAATGATGTTAGCTAGAATTAATTACTTAGGTTATGTATGTAAAAATACATTTACAATTTAAGTTAGGCAAAAATTTAATACATAGGCCTATATGACTACTACTTCACCTATTTTCTACATTTATTACCAAATCAACTCATTCTTCCTCATAAAATGTCAATATTACCTATTTAGAGGCAGCTAAGGCTTGAAATCACATTAAAAGAACAAGTCAAGTGTTTTAAGACGCATTTTCAACCTAAATGGTCGAAATAAGGCCTATATCACTACTTGTATGCCAATCTTCTATATTTTTAATCAAATTAGCTCATTCTTCCTCTTAACATGTCATTATTACCTAGTTAGAGGCAGCTAAGGCTTGAAATCACATTAAAAGAACAAGTCAAGTGTTTTAAGACGCATTTTCAACCTAAATGGCCCGAATAAGGCCTATATCACTACTTGTATGCCTATCTTCTATATTTTTAATCAAATTAGCTCATTCTTCCTCTTAACATGTCATTATTACCTAGTTAGAGGCAGCTAAGGCTTGAAATCACATTAAAAGAACAAGTCAAGTGTTTTAAGACGCATTTCAACCTAAATGGCCCGAATAAGGCCTATATCACTACTTGTATGCCTATCTTCTATATTTTTAATCAAATTATCTCATTCTTCCTCTTAACATGTCATTATTACCTAGTTAGAGGCAGCTAAGCCTTGAAATCACATTAAAAGAGCATTTGAATGATTTTTGGACGCAATGGCCCGAATAAGGCCTATATCACTACTTGTATGCCTATCTTCTATATTTTTAATCAAATTAGCTCATTATTCCTCTTAAAATAGTACAAAACACCACAAAAGCAAATTAACTAAGTCAATGGCATACCTCATCAAGCTGATGTAAGTCTGTACAATGACTCATTATGTCCAACATGAATCTCATCACGTATAGTCCGCAATCAACTCCGCAATCCCTTCGTACTAGCATTGCAACTCATGCGCTTGTAGCGCGACTTCTTGCATCGTGGACACTCTTCCAATTGTTCATATTCATTTCGATAAAGAATACAATCATTAGGACATGCATGTATTTTCTTATACTCCAAACCAAATGGACACATGAGCTTCTTTGCATAATAGTATGACTTAGGAATTTCATTCCCGTCAGGCAACATCTCAGTTAACACGGTCAACAAAGACGTAAAACTGTTGTCCATCCACCCATGCTTCAACTTAATGTTAAACAGTGTTAGCACAGCTGATAGTTTGGAGTATTTTTTGCACCCAGGATACAAAGGCTTTTTAGAAGCCTCCGATAACGACTCAAACACGTCACCTTCAACACCACGCATCATTTCATTCACCCCTTCATCCTCCACCTCATCCACCTGATCATCATCAAATCCATCCTCATCACCATTATCAACAATAAATTCATCATTCTTGTATTCCTCGTCCACACGAATATCATTGCTTCTATCATCATACACATCATTCCCAATAACATCCCCAATGTACTCTCCTTCTTCACCGTGCCAAATCCACACATGGTATTTAAGCCTAAACCCACGACAAACTACATGATCTCTAATGATATCAACACTATTAACCACCTTCACATAATTACAATCAACACAAGGACAATAGAGGCTATCGAAACCCATTATGCGCTGATAAGATGAAGCCCTCTCACAAAACTCTTGAACCCCATCAAAGAATTCTAATGTATCACGTCTACCATACATCCAGCCACGATCCTTCTCCATTAAGTAAATTGCCACTAAACATGGCAACATATTACGAATAATGTATAATTGCTACATCTATTATATATGTAAATCAAATTCAAACACACACCATGCATATAACATTCATATAGATACAATAAAGCATATATGCTTCCAAAGGGTCCTTATCGCTCCAACCTAACCCATCCTTGAACGTTTACTCTCACTAGTGAATGTATGTCGACTTTCCAATTTTAAGGAAAATCCGGCAGCATTTTCCCATAGTTCTCCAAGTACACGATGTAGGTAATAACTTACCCACATATGTACCCAGAGAACATGGTGATCGAGGAAATGCTAAGCCAAGATGTTCCTTAAAATCGAAAAAAGAAGACATACATTCACCACCTAAGTGAGAGTAAACGTTCAAGAACAGTCCCAACCGGGGACTATTCAAGACTTTCTCCTAATGAGAAAGCCTTGAATGGGTATCTAGGCATATGATGATGCAAGCATTTATATAATTTTGTATTAATTTGTCATTAAACAATACACAAGTTGTAATGGCATGAGAAAACTTTCATCATGAATCAAGAAAAAGAAACATAGACTAAGTTTTTAATTCATACCACAATTGAGCTAAATTTGTAGTCTTCAAGCTAAACTTGTGCTTCAATTCACATATGAATCTATAAAAAAATTAAAAAGAAAAAACAAAAGTTAGTAAGTAATTAATACCTACATACATTGCTAAATAATAACGCATCATTAACCAAACTAACAATTGCTAATCACTAGTTTTTTTAAATTTTTGAGGAAGCACTGTCAAGCTAAGCTTGCTTTCTGCATTTAGTGTGAAAGAACATCAGATTACATACGTCTTTTTGGCACAGCCCTAGGGCGCTTATAATGGTTCATAGATGGAGAAGAATGTTAGGGTTGAGGATTATGAAACTAAGTTCAAATTTTTATGTTAGTATGTTAGTATGTTAGTATTACACATCCCTTCAATTGCTTGTGCTCTTGCGGAATGATGAAAGCAATATAATTAGCTAAGACCTAGAACTGAGATTTTAAAGCCGAAACACTTGGAAACTTGGAATATGATTAGTATGTTCTAAATATGTTAGAATTGCTAAGACCTAAAATCAGTATTATTGTTGCTACGTAGTATGTTGGCTACTGGAAATTTTCTGTTAGCTTCACAAATTTAGATGCTTTTAGTTGACATTAGTTTTCCTGAGCCGAGAAGTCTTTCTTGCTGCATCATTTGGATTCTGTAACTTATTTACTTTTTTAGTTCAACCCTATTATATGACTCTGTATAGATGAAGACGTAGAACTTGGATACTCACAGCTGTGCATCGAAGGTTCGGGGAATATTGCAAAAGTCTTGAGACTGGTACAACTAAGATGAAAAACAAGACATTGGTTTGTTAAAACCCCAGAGCCGGGAGCAAAGACTAAGACAAATTTCAGCAATAAGCTTCTGAATTTCATTTACTCCATGCCCAATTTCAGCAAAATGCGTAGGTTTTCATTTGTCTTTATTGTGTTTACTTCCACACGCTTTCTTGTTACATGTTGAAATCTCTAGATGTTTTCTGATTTTGCAGTCTCCAAATTGTGAAATGTTAGAATTATATTGAGCAGTGTTTGGACTTCTATATTTTTAATACTTGTTAATTTATACAGACTAAGACTAAAATTGTAAAGTTCAGCTAGTAAAGGTTGTGGATTAGATGCAAATCAGTTTTTTGGGGTTTGACTAAGGCAAGGAGCAGTAGTTGTGGGCACACTGGTACAACACTTTTATGGCAATCATGTGTTGTGTGTGACTGGATTGGATTTGAAGGTCTTTTCATAAGTTATTTTGTCTTCTCGGTTGTTGGGGGACAAAGTTACTTATAGCTACGTTTTGGGCTAGGTAGCTGGGGTTTGAAAGTGTTAGTAACCGAACTGCTGTAAACAATAAAAACAGAACAAAGTTACCGGGAAATAGACTGAGTCGCGGACTATGTCGCTCTCTTTAGAACATTCACGGTACTGCCCTTTAATTTGTGCAAGCAGCTCGTACAACAACCGGATGTTCCCCAGGATAAAACAGCCTTCCTCTATTGTAATTATACCGGTGGAACTGCACAAAACCACCGGGCAACTAAACACCAAAAAAGAAATGAAACTGCTCGAGGGTTTTGTTTTTGTGAGGAAAAATAGAGAGGAGAAGAAGATTGCTTTCTGTATTTTTTGTGTATATAAAACAGGAAATCAACACGCCTTTTATAGGAAAAATTGCAACGTAACTGCTGCTGTTTAATTAGGCACTAATCACGCAATTAAAACGGTCATAAGTTGAACGTTCAAAACGGTTACAGAAGATTAATGCGTGGCAAAACGTTTAGCAAAAAATCAGTGAAAACGTTTGCATGATTAACGCTCCATTAATCAGTTTTGAAAAACGGTCAAATGTAATCAGTCAAAAACGTTTAGCAAAAATCAAGGAACTAATCACGCAATTAGCCTTGTCCAAAAAATAAGTTTATTTAATAAACCCGACCCGACCCAGCCCGGCTCGGCGCTCGTGTGTGATAGATGGTTTACCATATAGGTCCTCCCTCTCCACAAAATGTGGGTAGCCCAAGGGCCACACCCCTTTAGCCCACTCTCTATATTATAAAGAGAGTAAAACTCTCATTTCCCACCAATGTGGGACTTTGAGTTTTTTCACAAAATTCACACACTACACACTTGTTGTTCCAACAGAAAGTGTTACTCGGTTGGAGAGGTTCAAAGAAACTGGGTTAATTTATAATGCTGGTTTCTGTTTAGCTGACACTTTGTGCTCTTGGTTTTGTCCTCTTTCTCTTTTCTTCTCCCAAAAAAATTGAAAATTAAAAATTGAAAAACTTTTTGCTCTCTCTTCCTTACTATAAAATTAAAATGGTCTGCATATTGGATTTTGATGCTATCAAGTATATCCTTTTATTTTTTTTTTTGTGAGCTTTATATTACCAACTTGTTACTTATTTTCCCTTCTAAATGAACTATGTGTTGTCTGCTGGTGTATGGATGACTCTTACAAATGCAATGAGATCCTGTGAAGGTCAACGATGCTTAAAAGATTAGAAATAGAAAATTGTGAGGAACGATGTTATAACTCGAAGTAGTTTACCTGATTCCTGGGATGCAAATGTAGATCAAGCAAAGCTAATTCAGGAAATAATCCAGTAATAAAAGTAGGGAAATCTCGAGGTTTAACTTAATTAAGTAAACTTAATAGGAGAATTTGGAGCATTAATGAGCTTTGTAATTCATTCATATGCCTGCAGTCACACCTTTTATTGGCTTATATAGCCTTAAAATGGACTGAACTGGCAATTACATTAATTGTAAATAAACATCAGCATACTGTCTGAGTCCTCGATCTGAAAAAATTGAGGGTAAATTGGCTTATCCTGTTTAAAAAGAATCCTGGGATTTGTTTTCAGTGCTAAAAGTTTTGCGGGAGTTCTTATATCTTGTATAATCTTTGAAAAATTTCTCATCTAAAAGTGGGAGTGCCGACTAAATTTAAGGAATCATTATTACTACCTTGCTAATTGAATTTGAGACAGTATCAATGTAACCTACTATTGCATATATCATTACGCAAGTTTTAGAGTCACAAGTGAATAAAAATGCCAGTATCTTTCTGTATTTACTCTTATTAGCAAGCAAATTCAAGCCACAACCATCCAATATGCAATGCCTGAAATCCTACTTAATTGGTGAGCATTTTGATGGCAATCACATCAAAAAAATTCAAACATTTTTACATAAAGAATCAAGGAAACTCATCACAGAAGATTGAGGATTATGGCAATCACCTTAATATCTCCACAAGCTGATCAACTCCACTCTCACCAGGGAATAAAGGCTGCAAAAGCAAGCATACATAGACCACGGTTATGATGTATGAATCAACATAGTCTCGCGAACTCAACTAAAACCATTAAAGTAAAAAACATACTTGTCCAAGCAGCAGCTCAGCAAGAACACAGCCAGCAGACCAAATGTCAATTGCTGTTGTGTACTCAGTTGCTCCAAATATCAGTTCTGGTGCACGATAGTATCTGGAGCATATATAAGATATATTTGGCTCTCCTTTCACCTGCCATTAAAATTAAAAATATGGTGTTACAGCCAATAAAGAAAAGATAATATCAACAGCAATGAAGCTGACAGAGTCAACTAACAACACAAGATGTTAGAACAGGAAAACGAGGACGAACCAAGACTTTAGGACTTCCAAAGTCGCAAATCTTTAATTGGTGTGTATGCGGATTGACCTGAATCAATAAAAAGATGATATGAGATTAACAATTGAAAAAATTGATTTCTACAGCAAATTAAATCTAAAGCTTCGATGCACAATCCCATGTTCTACCACAACTAAAGTTGTTAAAGAGTTTGATAACTTTCTTGAGCAGGTTGTTAAAGAGCACCAACACCAGGATGGTCAAGGACACAGCAGAAAGGGTGAAGAGAGCAAAAATGATGAGATGGCTAAGGACTTTATAGATGTTTTACTTGATGTCCAGAAAGAAAAGAAAGCTGGGTTCGCCATTGACAAAGATAGCATCACAGCTCTAATACTGGTAAGGGTAACAATCTATCTCCATTTAACATCTTCCTGGGTACAGCCATCAACCACAATGTTCGTACTCAACAATCCTTACCATTTCCTTCTTTCACTGCTGCCTCTGTATAGCCCACCAATCTCTGAGCCATGCTACCCAAAGGCTCAACCTCAAATTACCACCTTGCCCATGAACCTATTAGTCCATTAAAGCCTTGTCACTTCAACAACTTTCTCACTTCAACATATTAAGGCTTTAAGGCTTTTGTGTAGAGGGGAGATATGAAATGATATGGAGCTTAATTCCCAGCAGGCTTGCAAGAAGCAATTCAAATAAAATTCCCTTAAATAAGGATTTTTAGACCATATACTATATACTGAATTCGAAATCAAATCAACGACAAACCCTACATTGCGAAAACTGAAATCAATAATCTAAAAAGGACAAAAACAAATTCTTACCTGATGTGGATTTAAACCCCTTAACTTAATAAAGAATCTAAAATCACACAAGTAACACAAGCCCTTCGAATTTCCTAAGAAAATCGAACAACTTAAGAATAACGAACCGGATATGACTTTGAAAACGACCACTCCTGGAACGAATTCAACGCCTCTCAAATTACCTAGACCACTCCTGGAACTAAGTACTTTGATGAACAAAACTTAGACTACTCCTAGAACTAAGAATTGAACGTTCTAATTATCAAAACAACTCCTTGAATTGAAAACTAGCAAAAGAATTTGTAAGCAATTAAGCAAAACAAACAATAAACTTGTATTGAATTTTCTGGTTATGGTTGTGTATACAAAGCCACGAAAAATCCCTTATTTATAGACTAAACTAACTATTCCTAAGTCTATTCGAACTAGGAAAAAAAAACCCTAGCCTTGATCCCCAAGTATCCTAGATAGAATAGGAAAACCAATTCTAATGGAACTAGGAAACTAGTAATAAGACTAGTTCTAATTAAACTAAAACTTCTTAAAACAATTCCTAATTGACTTAGAAATTATTTTAAACTAAAATAACAGAAATTAAGAAGATTCCTAATTGCTTAAACCAAGAAAAACCCTTTCAAGTGAAAGGTAAAAACTTGCAAGCAAAAAACTCTAGAAAAAACTAAGTTAGGAAAATCTTTCTTTTCGTACTGCCGCCGAACCACCACCTCACGCGCCGCCATCATCGACACGCGCCCCACCGCCGTGTAGCTGGACTCAGGCCGGAGCTAGGGAGCCGGCGCGTGGCACCCAGATCGGCGCGTCGCCGCCGCTGCCGTCGTCGGAACCCAACTGGACCTTGACTTCTTCTTCAATGGCTGCGCATGTTAACCATTCTTGATTCTTTACTCCAAGCTCAAACCCTATTGGCCTTAAAACCAATATGATTGGCTCTTCAAAAGAATTTCCCTCTTGATCCACATCATTCTCCCCCTCTTCAAAAGAATTTGTCCTCAAATTCGCATCATCCATGTAAGGAGAACAATTCCATGAAACCATCCAAATTCGACGAATACAAGCCAAAAGAACTATTACCTCAACGCTAGCAATTTTAAGCAATGTAACAACATCACCACGAGCAAGGCAATATTTTAGAAACAACCAATTCTCAATTTGGTCCTTGGTCTTCGAAGTTGACCATAAGAACACTTTAGGCTTCATGATATTTTTCTCATGTATGACTAACAATTTCTTCTCTTTATGCATGCCTAATGAATCCACCACTTCTAAAGAAACCATTAAATTATTATCTTGATTCACGAATGGCTCCTCAATAGTATCAAAAACCTTTTCCGACACCACCATTGGTAGATCATTATGAATAATCTGATCTTGAACAACGTCACACACAATTGGAACATCAATTGTTTCACTCACCTTTTCTTCGAGCTCTTTAGCACCTACATGTTCCTCTTCCTTATCCTTTTGACAATCTTCCTCCATCTCTTTAACTTTAACGCGGCATGGAATAATAGTTAAAGGAATAAGTTTGAACCTCTTGTTTCCCACCTTGACCGAATATGTGTTGGCCACACCATCATGTTTAACATGTCGATCAAATTGCCATGGTCTTCCTAAAAGAACGTGACAAGCACTCATAGGAATCACATCGCACCATAATTCTTCCTTGTAATTGCCAATGGAGAAATTCACCAAAGCTTGTTGTTCTACATGAAAACCCATAGAATTATCTAGCCAACCCAACTTATATGGTTTTTCATGATCTCTTGTAGGAAGTTGGAGTTTAGTAACCATCTCTGTAGACGCTACATTGGTACACGAACCACTATCAATGATCACCCTACAAGTTCTATCAACAACTTTGCATCGAGTATGAAACAAACTATCTTGTTGACCTTGAAAAATAATTTCTTCATGTAAATTCAGTCGCTCCATAAGCATATGTTTGTTACCAAAGCCAAAATCTACGTTATCATCTTCATGTTTTTTCTTCTTTTTATGACCTTGAAGTAACTTTGCAAATTCATCCATAGATTTTCTCAAAGCTTCCTCCATAATTATAAGACAAAAACAGACTTAAAAGACCCCAAAACACACAGGAATAACCCTCAAAAATCGCAACACAACTTGGAAGAAAATCGCACACAAAGAGCAGTAAGTATTAAATCGGACCAAAACTGACACAGTTGCGGAAAACAGTCCAGTTTAATAGCACACGAACTCGAAAAATTCCGAAATTTCACAGGCAGAAAGTAGACAAAATTTCACCCAAAATCAAAAAAAGAATCACCTGAAAAGACCTTGTAACGAAGGAGAACGAGCCTTCTGAAGTTGACAGAAAAACTGGTTATCCGAGAACAAGTGCGATTTGATGAACGAATTGTTGAACGATCAAAACCCCTGAAATCTGATACCAATTTGATGTGGTATCACACAAGCTCTGATACCAATTTGATGTGGATTTAAACCCCTTAACTTAATAAAGAATCTAAAATCACACAAGTAACACAAGCCCTTCGAATTTCCTAAGAAAATCGAACAACTTAAGAATAACGAACCGGATATGACTTTGAAAACGACCACTCCTGGAACGAATTCAACGCCTCTCAAATTACCTAGACCACTCCTGGAACTAAGTACTTTGATGAACAAAACTTAGACTACTCCTAGAACTAAGAATTGAACGTTCTAATTATCAAAACAACTCCTTGAATTGAAAACTAGCAAAAGAATTTGTAAGCAATTAAGCAAAACAAACAATAAACTTGTATTGAATTTTCTGGTTATGGTTGTGTATACAAAGCCACGAAAAATCCCTTATTTATAGACTAAACTAACTATTCCTAAGTCTATTCGAACTAGGAAAAAAAACCCTAGCCTTGATCCCCAAGTATCCTAGATAGAATAGGAAAACCAATTCTAATGGAACTAGGAAACTAGTAATAAGACTAGTTCTAATTAAACTAAAACTTCTTAAAACAATTCCTAATTGACTTAGAAATTATTTTAAACTAAAATAACAGAAATTAAGAAGATTCCTAATTGCTTAAACCAAGAAAAACCCTTTCAAGTGAAAGGTAAAAAACTTGCAAGCAAAAACTCTAGAAAAAACTAAGTTAGGAAAATCTTTCTTTTCGTACTGCCGCCGAACCACCACCTCACGCGCCGCCATCATCGACACGCGCCCCACCGCCGTGTAGCTGGACTCAGGCCGGAGCTAGGGAGCCGGCGCGTGGCACCCAGATCGGCGCGTCGCCGCCGCTGCCGTCGTCGGAACCCAACTGGACCTTGACTTCTTCTTCAATGGCTGCGCATGTTAACCATTCTTGATTCTTTACTCCAAGCTCAAACCCTATTGGCCTTAAAACCAATATGATTGGCTCTTCAAAAGAATTTCCCTCTTGATCCACATCATTACCTCGAAGTTGCTTCAATGGAGGTGAGAAAGCTCGCACCCGCTTCAATGGAGAATTGAGAGTACGCGTAATGCAGGAGTGATATGGACAAAGCTCAAAATGCGCTTCAATGGAGAACTACGAGCACGCCTAATGGAGGAGAGATATGGAGAATGGCGAAATTTCAGAGGTGGTGAAGCTAAGAGAAGGGTGAAAACGAGAGGGAGGGAAAACTGAAAATGAAAAGGCAGGGGGAAAGAAAGAAAGAAGAAGCTGAACCCATTTTTTTTTTCAATTAAAACCGATTTTTTTTCAATATAGCACCGGTTTGTGTTGAACCGGTGGCAAATCTTTTTTCCTCCTTTTTTTTTTTTAACAAAAACAATTAGGATTTGGCACCGGTTTTTAAGAACCGGTGGCAAAAGGGGGGTGCCTTTTTCAATTTTTCTACTAGTGAATCTAACAAGATTGCACATGGTTATATTAACTCTTGTTGACTAATGGGATTTTATGGTCAAAGTATTTGAAGTTTGCCACTTTTACTGTTTTGGGCAAAAAAAAAAGGGGGGGGGGACAAAGGGATTACTATATAAACAAGTTCAAAATAAAAACATAGGATGAGTAACATGTATCAGTAGAAAATTTGGAAACTTAATTAGTGAACGTAAAGTACATATAAATAATGTAGTTACTTATAGTCTTATATGTACATTGATAAATCTGAAGGCATTTGTCAAGTTAGAGCAAGTGGAAGTTAGGAATTTTTTTTTTCCTTACGCAATGGAAGTTAGGATTTATTTATGTTTTAAAAGGATAAAGCAATATTATCTTAAATATGGAAACTTACGGTATGTAATTTACTTAATAGTCATGTTTACCACTTTACCCTATTCAATATCTATATAAACCTCATCCCCTCTCTAAGCATTATACATATTCCGTAACAAAATTTTCAATCAAACAAAATAAAGCTTGATTTTGCTGAGCTATCTTTTCCATTTTCACAACATTAATAATGACTAAATTTCAATTACTTCAATTTCCTTGTTCCCACCAACAAATTAAATGCTCGCTCCCATCATCCTATCATCATTATCGTGTCAAGATTGAATGTAAATTGAACTTTCAAGAGTTTGAAAGATTGGTTACTTATCGTATCGACGACATTGGCCAACTCTCCGGCGTACCAATCACACCTTACCGTCTCTCCAACAGCACCGCAACAGATTCCTTTAGCCCTTTTTGTGCGTATTGCCACTCTAATTTTG